AATTGTTCTCAACGTTTATAAGCGAAAATGAACAGTGATTTCGTCTACCCTCATCACCATCTAAATTTCATCGCATGGTCACAGTTATCCGGTGGTGTTTTAATTTTTCAGTTTTTTTTTGTACAAATCCAAGTTACTTGAAATTTAGAGCATATGTACATTTTAGTGAGGCGCACTTAATAAAATTATTAAGAAAATAATTTAAAAAATATAAATTGAAAAACATAAATCAAAGTACTCCAAAAAATTTACGCACACTTAGAAACACTCATGAGTGAATTTCTACAGTATAACTCTAATGACTTGTCATTACCTAAAATCTATAATACAGCTACAACTGTCTGGATGTGGTTTAATTAAATAATTTTTTTACAAATCAGACACATCTGAAATTTAAATCATGTGTACATTCAAATTTTTTAAGTAAATGAAAACTTAAAATTTAATAGGAAAATAGGAATTCATGGAAAAATAAGAACTACTGAGTTATAATAAGAATTTTATCTCATTATATGGAAGAAATAAATTGCAAACTAGGAGAGAACAAAATTAGTTATGAATTATCAAATAACATTTAGTGAACATATAAACAACTATGAAGGGACTATTGTAGTACAATATAATTAAATAAAAATAAAATAAATTATTTTCATTTACGTCATATTTTGTAAAAAATTTTGTTATTAATTTTCATAACTCAAGTATTACGCACCACACATGTCATTAGCCAGTTAAAATGTAAATTGCCACATGAGTGGCGCTTGTGAGACATTATTAAAGCACCCTCTTCACTTGAAAATCATCTAAGCAAACATATTTTTAATCCGTATGAGGTATAAAAGTTTTAGTTTGCAAAACATGCACACAACTGCGGAATAATTATTGGGAAAGTGTTCTTTGCTACCACTCAACTTTCCAACAACTTACTTGCACCTCCGGAACGGTTGTTGCCTAACTATGAGAAATCCAACGGCTGTGTTGTGCTGCCCAACAATGGGAAATCCAAGTGCTAGAACGAAACTATTAAATTTCAAGTAGTTCTCAAAATTTTAGATTGAAAATAATCCTCACAACTAGGTCTTCCGACGAAAGGAGTAGAACTAAAACTATGCACCCAAGGGAGCATAGTTTATATATTCTTATATTTAGGAATATCATTATATTCTTATATTATTCATTTCCATAAATAAAGATGTGGTATGGCTCTTGATAGAGCAGAGCTGTAGATCAGGATTCTAATGTCTTGACTCCAAATAGTTTGAAAAAAAGCTAAAAAGATTTCCACACCAAAAAATGCACCCCATAAAACATAGGATGTGGTTTGTATAGAGTCGAGGCTCTAAATAATCAGAGTAGAGCATACCTTCAAATAGTGTCGAGAAATATGGTTTCAATATTGGAAATATTTATGATAGCCTTAAATTATATTTTTATCTCTAATGATAAATTTTAAAACTTTTAGATCGAGCAAATCTATAAAAATATTGAAAATTGATGGTACAAAAAATACGTTACAAGATGCATTATTTCCAAAATTTGAAATCTATTTTTTTCTTATGTCCATGTATCTTGAAGTCGAAATGACTAATTTGAAAATATTTAAGCATTAAAATAATCGATTCTAATGAAATTTTTGAGATAGACTTTAATTCGAATGTTTAGAGCCTAGTCTCTCTATAAACTAAACTTTTTCCTAAAACGTGTGCAAGACACAATAGCAATATTTACAAGAGCTAGCTAGCATGCTTTACCAAAAAGCGTGATTACAAGGGGGCACAATCCCAAATTCTTAAACGAATTCAAATAGCAAATCAAAAGTCAAAGTCTTTGCGACGACTTATCTCTACCTCAATCGAACAAAAGCTCTTTCCATCCACAAAAATTCATAGGGAGAGAGATTAAAAACAGCAAAATAAATAAATTGGGACCGGGTTGTTATGCGTCCAAGCCCACAAATGTAGAAATGCTGACCGCTTAATCAATTTTAATATGAAAAAAAATAAATTTAAAAAATTAAAAATATTAAGCAAACATTTGAAACGTCAGTTTTTTGTTACTTTTAGAAGGAACACGGCATGCATCCATTTTAAAGACGAATGTTTTACATCTTTTTTACTCCATACATACATACATAAAAAAGCGATCCAGCCCGCATGAAACAATTTTACAATAAATTGATACATATATTAGAGACACAGAGCATATAAAGAGAGAGAACAAATAAGTAAAGAGAGATTAAAGACAGAGTGCAAATAAATAGAAAGAGAGGAGAGATCCGAAACAGCTAAGAAATAGAGAGAGAGAGATGCGTTTATTTGTGTTCATAACTCTCCTATTCAGTTCAATGCTGCAATTCACGCTTCTCCGGCATCTAGCAAAAGCAGCTGAACTTTGCTTGGGCTCTACAAATTACACGGCAGGAAGCAGGTATGAGGAGAACCTGAAAAGCCTCCTTCAATCCCTGAAAGCCAATGCCTCCATCTCGAGGGGTTTCAACTCCACCACCTCGGGCACGAGCCCTGACCAAGTCTATGGCCTTGCCCAGTGCAGGGCTGACACCACCACCGCCGAGTGCAGCGATTGCATGAACAGAACCACAACCGATGCCCTGCAATTATGTCCCAACAGGAAACAGGCGATCTTTTGGGACGATCAGTGCATCCTTTGCTACTCTGATTCCAATTTCATCGGATCAATAAACCGGAATCGATTATACCTTTCGAATGTAAACAATGCCTGTGATCGAGACTCCTTTAACCTGGAACTTGGTGGCCTGATGAGGAAGCTGACATGGAGAGCTGTCTCTGACCCGCTACTCCTCTATGCATCCGGGAAGACTGTGTACGATAATTTTGTAACGATTTATGGGCTGTTGCAGTGCACGAGGGATCTCGATGATGCAGAGTGTAGGAACTGCCTTGAAAGCGTGATTGCCGACATCCCCAGCTGCTGCAATGGTCATGTCATATCGGAGCCCAAGTTTTGAGCGGGAGTTGAGTTGCATACTGCGGTATGAAACATATTCATTCTTCACACCCTCCCCTCCACCGCCACCACTGCCAATGCCAAACTCACCGCCGCCACCCGCTACGACAAACGCTCTGCAGCTACCACCGCCACCGGCTACGACAAACTCTCTGCAGCTACCACGGCCTGAAAATCCCACCCCTCGAGTTAAGCGAATATTCTCTCACTTCAAATGCCACCTCATATGCTTCACTGTGATGAATATTGGAAGAAATTCCTAGCATAGACTATAGATGTAGCATATAAACCGTGCAGTATATGCAATTTAGACCGTCCAATGCCTGTGAATTACGGTGAGGATGAATCACATCTCCATTTATGCTGGCAATTGTGGAGAAAGAGTTCATCGCTACCGTCCATTGATGATAACAAGTTTGTGCATGCCCGTTATGGGGCAAAATGGATATATTTTCCACGTAACAATAGTGCAGGTTTATTTGAATATCGCAATCAAGAAAGAAAACAAAGAAAGTAAGATTTATTTTGTTGAGTATCACATCCCATTGAATGACAAAGAACAAATATTTTAGAGGGGAAAAACTTTTACGCATCTAAATTGGCGCCTCAATCACAATTTTATGGCTAACATGGTTTTTATTTCGGAAAATGATTCGATAGGGCTGCAGCCCTATCAAAATAAGGAAATCCCCAACTCATAACTCATTGGAAATTCCAATTCACGCATTGGAAAACCTTTATATGGTTCATTTTGACTTGAATATTATGGTTGTGAAAAAAAAAAAAAAAAAGGAATTTCAAACTCTAAAAGTAACAAGTTTATTACAACAAATTATCTAAGACCATCTATTTCACCATAAAAAGTTGTGTCCACAAATCTTTGCATATTTTTAGTGTTGGAAATTTATTTTACAGCCATCAAAGAGATTTCAAATGATGCCGAAAGAGCTTTCCGAATGAGAATTTGAGGTGAGGATTTATTTTATTTCTATAAAGCCTAGGCCTTATAGAAACCTCATCTTGTTATTTAATGTATTTTCTAAAGTTGGAAAACTTTCTAAGTGAACATATCAACCTCAAGATGAATGGATACAAATGATTTTTTTTTTTTTTTTTTTTTTAAAAATGCATCTTGTAACAAGTTATCTAAAAAGTATAGTTTCAAAATTTTTAAGTGTTTATAGATTTGCTTGATCTGCACCTATTTTGAAACTTTAAATTTCATAATTAGTATAGAACATGAGTTTTCAAGCCATCGTGGTGTCGAAGGTTCACACACCTAGAAATTTTAGAGTATAGTATGAGGTGGGTACCTTATGCAAAACTCACCCTTTGTAAAAAACTCACCTTATGCAAAACTCACTGATCTTTAGAGTTTCTATGTTGTCACCAAACCTATATATATATATATATATTATATATATATATATATTNTATATATACTAGTAGTAGTAGTATTATATACTACTACTAACTAACTTAATTAAGTAAA